GTGGAGGTGAGCCCGACTATATCTCGCCGGTAGCGCTCCACCTCCCGCACCACCTCAGGCTCCTTCCTTCGCCAGTGAGGTGACATTCCATGTCTCCAAAACTAGTCTACGCCACCAGGGGGCGGTATGCCAGGACGACCGCTCCTGCCTACCACTCGGTGGGCATAGCACCCGACCCCAACCCTCTGCCCTGAGGGTGGTGAGCCCTCTGGGCAGTGGCCCCGTGTGGCCACCAGACTCTCCCCAGCGAGCCCCCCCCCAGGCCTGGCTCCAGGGGGGTGCCCCGGTCTCCCTATTCCAGGCGAGGTGGTGGCTTTCCTTGCATTGTTCTTCATCGAGGTCCTTGAAACAGTGACGTGTTCAAGAATTTCAAAATAGTGAAAATATTGGCAAATATCTCAGACGTAAATATATATATATTCTTTATTGATTTCAAATGACGTAAAACAGGGTTACTTTACGGTCGGACATTGTAAAAGAACAGTTTGTAGTTTGTGATTTTACTACTTTAATAGATGTATTTTGTCTTTGAAAAAAATCCAAAATTTGTAAAATGTGTTTTGTTGCTGATTGAAATGCAGTTGATAATAGTTTAATTTTACTTTTCATAAAAACAGATGTTTAACGTGAACATTACACACAGTTTTGGTCTATTTTTTATTTATTTTTTTAATGATGAAAATGTAAATTAATGCACTTTTCTCTTTAACTTTTCTACATAATATTACCATTAGATCACAAGTTACTCCCTGTAATTTAGTAAAACAAGGAAAATCTGTAAAGTAACAGTAAACGTTTTAAGCTGTCGCTGACACCAGCCTGTGGACATGCTGTGAAACACAACCTCGATCATCAGCACCTGTTCTGTTTTTTAAAGTGTTTTACCAAAAAAGAAAAAAAACATCATCCATAACGTCACCCACACATTCCCATTTTCACTCATCGTTTAGAAGAAGTGTCGATTAGATCATAGAAGAAAAAAAACAACAGATTCGTGTTTCTTAAAATCAAGAAGACAGTCGGCACAGCACCCAGTGAACAAAGTGGTTTTAATAAGAAACGTTTAATGTGATCCATGTGTGAGTTTGACGCCACACCAACAGGATAAACCGTGAGTCACAGCAACAGATTTGGCATTTCATGTGTTCACGACGTGAAAATGACAAACAGTTAAAAGTTTCATGTGGCCGAACGTTTGAACTTCAGACCAACGTATTTAATTAGTCTGTCCTAAATTTGGTCAATCATCTCTACAAAGTTGATCGTAAAACAGCAAATGTGTAAAATCGTGGGTAAAAAAGTCATGAAAGGAGAAAAAAACATCTTAGAATCAAAGCAATTAAAGTTATAAATTCATGGGGAAGACAAAAGAAGGCCTCAGATATCACCTGAGACTAAAAATACAAAACAAAACCTGACTTTATAATTAAAAAGAACTTTAAAGTTTTTATTATGTAAGTTTAGAATTGCATTATCAGAAAGAATATTAAGGTGGTTATTTACCAGGAAAAAAAAATAAAGTGGCACATTTAAAAGAAAAAAACAAACAAACTTGAAGTGGTTCATTTCTGGACAAAAAACAAAATATACATAAACAGGATGTTCGATTAAATTGAGACATTGGAGTTAAAGGTAGAAATTCATGAGCAGACAAAATGTGGATGTTCATAGAATAAAGCTGTAAAGCATCTGAGAAGAATGCTTGACCAATCTTTGAGATTTAAGTAAATTTACGAGAACAAAAAACACTTGGACGTTCTCGGAGTAAAGTTCCAAATTTATAACAAAAAACTCTGAGATTGAAGTCACAAATTATGGAGAAAAAAAATTTGGATTATCTCCAAGATTCAAGTTTTTTTCGACAAATGAAATCCCACAAATACCATCTGAGAATAACAACAAAAACTCTGAAATGTCTCGAACTACAGGCTCAACTCTGAGTTTGTTTCTCACAAATTTATGACTTTTTTTTTTAGGATGTTTTATCGCATATATTCCTGATATGTGTCCCCTCCCCAGCTCTGTGTTTTCTTTTTATTTCATTTGTCCTCTGAGCCGATGAATCAGATCGAGGGATCATCGTGTTGATCAGTCTGGAGACAAACATAAAGGTTTCATTCAGGCTGATTTTGATTTATTTTTTATTTTTTTGGTCACTGATCATTTGTTGCTTTTAATCCTTGATACCTGTCGCCACGATTATCACGCACAGCTGCAACGTTTTTATCGTGAACTTAAGCAGGGAGCTACAGCGAAGTGGCGATAAAGTGAGAAATAAACAGTGCAGTTCATCTGAACTCTCATTAATCTGAACCTTTGCTCTGTTGCTGCTAAAATAACCTCATTCCACTGTCAAACTACGGCTCCATTTATTCCTGATTTATTGGGCGAATTATAAAAAAAGTACAATTGAAACCTGAACTATTGAGTCTTACGTATGGATTCTGCAAAAAACAACCGATTAACTGACGGAAAACTCATAGATGAGGAAGTTTAGATGCCTTTAGTTGTGAATATGGAAACGTGTTCATACTGGAGTTGGAGATAAATAAATGCAGTAAAAATGATCCTCATTATTCGATAACAGTTCTTGTTCCAATAATCCTGCCTCACTCGAGAAATATAAAAACAGTGCTGCAAACGTAAACACGAGTTCAAACGGAGAACGTTGAATAAAGTCTCTGGAAAACATCACACGACCACATTTTCATCTTTCAAATCAGGTTTTCCTTTAAACAAGTGAAAAGTTTGACTTATTTCAGTTTGGAGATCTTTACATGAACAGGATTCGGCCTCCAGCTGCACTAAACAGTTCATCTGAGCGACTGAGATCATCGGGTTTGTGTTTTAATATTTAACTCAAAATGTGTCGTCACTGCTTCCAAACATTTATGAGAAAAGCTCTGATCATCTCTGAGACTGAAATTGGGAATTCATTGAGAAAATTCTTGGACATTCTCTTAAGGAAGGAACGTGAATATTATCTGAGATTGAAGTCGTAAACGTACAAAAAATAACGCACAAAGTTCTGAAAGATTAAAAAAAAAAAAAAAAAAAAATGTTCCCTCTGGCTTCACAAACCTCCTGAAATGATCAAACCTTCACAGTTTGATATTAAAACCATTCTGGGGCGACAGAATCTACAAGTCTGAAAAGATCAAGCCGATGCTGTTTAACTGCAACGTCTACGAGACAGATTTGTGGCTCAGCTGCACCTCAACAGAAAACACTTTAAACCAATCATAGTTGGTGCTGAGCGGAGTCGAGTGAAGGACGCTGCGACCGAGATGTTTTGGTGGAACTATGCATTAAAATGGATGAAACCTCGCAGGACTGTCTGACTGTATTTGTGGTGAGAAATGGAAGCAAACTCCACAGACAGCCGCAGCTTTATACCAACGGCCTTCATACGGAGACGGTTCTTTATAGAATCATTTGATTAGAAACTCGGAGCCTCTTCTGACCTGCACATGTACCGTTCAGCTCTCTTGTGAACCATCATCCCACCCTTGAATCCCATCAGTTCCTATCTGAGCAAACTGTCACTTGTTTCAGGAAAACAAAACACTGATTTGATGCTTGATGGAACATTAAACGACTCGCCGCCATCAGATGGCTTTTCCCAGGATGAGGATGCTCATGAAGAAGACCATGATGAAGAAGAGCCACATGAAGAAGCGATCCATGACCTTGGCCACCTTCCTCCACTCCCCGACGCGCAGCTGGGCCGTCCGCTGGTCCTGGTACGAGTTGGCGATGTACTCAACGTTCTTCCTCAGTCCGTGATGCTGGCAGATGCACTTCACCAGGATCTCCCTCCGGTCCTCGGCTCCGCCTCCTCCTTCGCCTCCGACGCCTTTCTTCTCCTCCTCGTACTCACCGCCGTTCGACTCGTCCGCTCGCTCTTCCCCTCCGACGGCTCCCCTCTCCTCCGAGTGGTTGATGGTCACGAACAGATCCTCCTTCCAGTCCGTCTGATTGGCCAGATCCGGCCCCGCCCCCTCCTCCTCTGCCCTCCCGCCCCACACCTGTCCGTTCACGTCCCAGTTGGTTCCTCTGCTGCTGCCGCCGTTGGCCGACGGTGCGTCCGACTCCTCCTGGGACAGCGGCTGCTTCCTGGACGAACTCCCGCTGAGGCAGTTGTCGCGGACCTCGCTGACGAAGCAGATGCGAGCGAGGTGGTTCAAGATGAAGCGCTCGGCCCATTCGGGGACGGGACGGGCCTCCGGACCGCAGTGGTGGATGTTCATGATGAAGATGGTGAGCGCCGTCGACGCAGTGACCATTGTCATGGTGGCAATGTAGTACTTTCCTGTTGAAAAAGGACACGCAGAGGTCAGGGTCTGCGATTGGGTAGATTTCAAATTGGCCTCGCAGCTGATTGGTCGAGAGTTAGTGCAAAATTTGTGGAGTGATGCATCTTTCTACATCTGATGGTGGAACATCTTTCTACATCTGATGGTGGAACATCTTTCTACATCTGATGGTGGAACATCGTTCTACATCTGATGGTGGAACATCTTTCTACATCTGATGGTGGAACATCNTTCTACATCTGATGGTGGAACATCTTTCTACATCTGATGGTGGAACATCTTTCTACATCTGATGAGCAAAGCAGAGAGGAGAAATCCGGAGACATGGAGATAAAGAGACACAATGACAGAAACCAGACAAAACAATCAAAATAACAAAATGAAGAGATGCAGAGCTTCTAAAAGGAGATGCAAAATGACACAAACATGTCAAAAATGAGACACAAGATGACACAAATAAGACGCAGTTGAGCTAAAAGAAACCAAAAGATCAAAAAGAAGACACGTTTAACGTTCAGTCGGACTCTTATAGAGTTGCTCTTTTCCACTTGTGTCTCGTAAACGGTTGCAGACTGAGTTTTCTGCTGCAGTGTGACGATTTAAAGACAAACTGCTGCTGGCGGCCCTGAAGCCTCAAAGATCATCGACTCCCGGCTGTGATTGTCGTATTTTAAACAAGCACTGATGGGTTTTATCGACCTGCCGGCCTCATTACAGCCAGCGGACAGAAACTGAATCCAAAGCTGTGCCTCTGTGTGTCCGTCCAGCTCTGTTTCGTACAAACAAAAAGAACACAACAACTCCAAAGCTGCTAACTTGGCGGCTTTCTCCTGTTTTACAACCATCAGATTCACAGAGAAACAACTCGACTCATAGTTCGATGAGCAAGTTGGAATCGTAACGTCTTTAATTTGGAACATGTGCAGAGGTTCGGCCTGCAAGTTCCTCCAGTAGAAAACCACCTGCAGCAGCCTGAAACCAAACGGTTTGTTCGGGAAGCTGATACCTTGGTGACCTTCTGTGACAGCTACTACTTAACTTTGGCTAATGACCCTGTCTGACCTAAATTTGAGACTCCTCTCACCGATCAGCGGGACGCTCTCGGAGGGCGGCATGCTCTCGGCCACCAGCAGCTGGAACACCGTGAGGGCCAGCAGCACCGTGACGCCCAGAGAAACCTTCTCCCCCGAATCGGCCGGCAGGTAGAAGCCCAGCGGAGCCAGGAAGGAGATCATCATGCAGGGGATGAGCAGGTTGAAGATGTAGAAGGAGGCGCGTCTCTTCAGGTGGAGGGTGAAGGTGATGTCTGGATACGGATCCGAGCAGCAGCCGTACAGGATGACGTTCTTCTTGGCTGGCATTCCCAGAACCTGGTCAGACAACAGGTTTAACTTTGTCAAAATATCTGAATCAGAAATGAGGTTTTGTGGTTGTGCTCATGAACAAGACGAATCGCTCACCTCCCACTCCACGTTGGGCACAAAGTCGGCCAGATCGGCGCTGTCCAAGGCGTTGATCAGGTCCATCTGGTTGCCGTTGTGGGTCCAGGAGCCGAAGGTCAGGTGACACTGCTGCACGTCGAAGGGGAAGAAGGCCACGTCCACGGAGCAGGAGCTTTTGGTGATGGCCGGTTGGTCCCACATCACCTGGCCGTCGTTACGGATGACAACATTGGTTTCCATGGAGCTGGAGAACTCGTCGTCGGCACTGTGGTGGAGAAGATCATGTCACGACGGAGTTTGAAGAACAAGGAACGCTCAGCAGTGAACAGGAAGCTACACCCACCTGTTGTACAGAACGATGTCCGGCCTCCAGACGTAGCTGCTGGGTATTCGGATGGTGTCGAGGCCGTCGTAGTCCTCCTTCTTCCAGGTGAGGTAGGCATCCATCCACACCTGGCGGATCCACAGGTAGGTCGTCAGGATCTGGTTCCGCTCATCCTGTCAGACAAAACACACAGCAGGAAGTCATCAGCACGACCGTACGGACTCACCACACCGGGATGCGTGGGGTTCGGTTACCATGTCGATGATCTGGGACAGCGTGATCTGCAGCGTGACATTGATGATGTAGTCGGTGTCCTCCACCGGCCGCAGGGCGTTGGTGTAGTTGGAGAACAAGTCGGTGAGCAGCTTCTGGGCATAGCGGCCGTGAGCAGCCAAACAGGCTGAAGACCAGAGAAGAGATCTGAGTTAAACCAAGCAGCAGCAAACTCACTGGTTTAGACGTCCAACCCACGACCTCCACAACAAGCTCAACATCAAACAGTTCTAGGAAATCGTCTCTTTACGACTTCTAATCTAATCTCGTCAGAATGTTTTTAAATTCTGCTTCTTAACCTGTTTTGTTGTTAAACCTCTTTTTCATACATGACACCCAGTTTCGACTGTTTACGCGCCTGTTCTTCACATCTTGCTCGTTACTGAGGACGCTACGAGGCTGTGAATTCACATCAAATCATTTTCTCGGCAGTTAATCCTGAAACGTCTCGTGTCGCCGAGTCTGAACACACATTCGAACCACATCTCCCACTTCAATTAACCTGAAACCACCTCAGATTTTAATTGGAAAACGCCGGTGGCCGAGTGATAATTCCTTTAAATCCTGTTTACAGCTGATGGCGGGTGCAGCTCAGCCTCAGAGCTTCTGTAAAACAGCCGGCGTTCAACCTAAACGGCTGCCTTTGAAATGTAAATTCAATGAATGTCGGCTGAGTAATTACTTCAAAGTGGTATTAGGAGTACGCAAAACTGAAACTAACAAAACTTAGACATGCAAATTATTGTGCTTTTTGCTCCATTATATTCATGTAACAGCTTTTTGAGGACGCACAAATTTAAGACAACTTCCCCCAAACCTCCTCACAATCAGCTGATTCTTTATCTGCAGCAAATTTATTTAATGAAGCAAAGTTTTACCTTCATACCATGAATATTTTCTAGAGGGTCCAGATTTATCACTTCAATTGACTTTTTCCATTATTTCTGAGCCTCAGAACTTCATCAGTACAGCAGATAGATGTCTTCTTCCTCCTAAATGTCATGTGTCTGAGTTCTGCTAGAACCTGACACCAGATCAGTTCTACATCCATCCAGGTGTCTCAGTCTGAACCCTGGATCTGGTTTCTGTTCATGTCCTCTACAACCAATATTATGGGAAAGTTATTGATCCTCAGAGTGAGTCCTGTCTACAGATAGGTTCTGGAGGCAAAATGGTCCCTCCATCATCTAGAACTGGTTCTGACCAACCACCATCACACATGCTGATATGAGCCTGGAAAGTTTACCCAGAATGCACTTCATCACAAACATACCATCCCCATTCTGAAGCACGGCGGCGGCGGCAGCATCATCAAGGTGAAAATGAGACTTGAAGATGAACAAAAGTGCTGTTTTTAAAGTTTCTCTGGTGAATGATGAGAAGCCAGAAACACATCCAGGGTACCGGAGATGTTTCTACGACGAGCCACAACAGCAAAGTCCTGCTCTGACGATGATCTGATCAAACAATCGATCAAAGTGTAACTTGTGTTATTAATACTTTAAGTTTTCTGCAGGACTTTACTCATAACAGAGTGTTTTTGCTTTTATGCTGCATGTACGAGTTCGATTCCAGACAAACAATCCGGTTTTCCTGCCGTCCAGGAGCTGAGCAGAGTCTGTTTGTCCTGTTTTTTATTCCTGTAGAACAGGTTCAGAGCTTCACTTCCACATTTCCATTTTTGTACAAAGGACATCGACACTCCCTCCCCGTCGCGTCAGGGTTCGGTGATAAATTATGTCCTTGTTATCTGAGGATCATTAAACTGACCGCACTCCTGTGTGTTTCCTTTTTTGTGCAAAGCCTGTTGAGGAGTGTTGTCATTTGGACGGCGGCTTGTTTTCAGCGTCTCCTGTTATGAATCCGACTGTTTGTGTCGAAGCTGCTCCTGTTGTCTCAGTCAAACACCAAATTCTATCATGTCAAATGATGTGGTTCTGTGTTCGTTCCATCTGGATGAGTTTGCTCAGATTCATGCTTCCACTGATTTGGTCGCATGTGCAGCAGCAGCAGAGTCAAAATATCTGCGAGTTCTGATCACGTTCTTTTACTGTTTAAAATAAAGTTCCTGATGTTAAAGGTGGACAAGACAGAACAGCATTCAGGGGATGCCGTCAGATTATGTTCCACGAACGATCAAAACACGTTCTCCAGACGTTCTGGAGGCTTCCAATGATGTTTTTTTCCCTAAAACATTCTTGTTCTGTGATTTATGAACTAACATGGAACGTTTATCCTGCAGTGTTCTATACATATATGACGTTCTTCTACAGAACGTTCCCACAACAGAGGAAGAACGTTCTCAGTGCAGCACATGGTTTTAAGAATGCTGGCGCACAACAGTCTAAGACGTTATTGCCAAACATTTTCAGAACATCTTTAGAGAACGTTCTCCTGCTAAAAATGTGACTAGAATGCTGGAGAACATTCTCAGAATGTTTTAGGAATGCTTCCATTGTATTCCAGTGAAGTTAAAAGTGAACTAAGACGGAGCATTTTTGCGTTCAGAGGATGTTTGGAGGAAGCTGGCAACAAAGAAAGAACGTTCTCAAAGCCAACAGCTGTCACCCAGCGTTCAAGAGGCTCCAGAACATCGTTAGAAACAGAGAGTTTGACGAACGAGGTGATTAACTGAAGGAAAATTAAACATCCAAGTTGTTGCACTTGAGCTTTAAACGTCCAACCGAAGGTGAAAAATCTGCAGCAGAACGTCAGCGTTTTGTCTTTTTAAGGACTCTTGACATCAAGAATCAGTTGTGAAGCAGCAGGTGGTTCTCTTTGATCTCTTCTGTGTCTCTTGTGCGTCTGAAATATGGAAACAATCTGGTCAACAGAATGCATGAAAACACTGAATCACTCCACTGAGCTGTTTAAAGTCCTGGAACACTCGGCAGGTTGTGGCTACGAGGCGGCGGCCAACAAAGTGTCTCGCTGCGAGCCGACAGGACGTTTCCTTGGCGGGAAAACGTCATTCCACAGCTGAAGACTGCAGCCGATACCGAGTCTGCGACGGGCTTCATACCCATTCACACGACTCTTTACTTATATGGTCACGGAGCTCGGCGTGCTGCTATCGGCGCTAAACTCTGATCTGATATCACTGCGGCCTTCAGATTCCACATCATCCCTCCACGGCTGAAGGTTTCTGGGCGTCCGGCTCCAACGTTCCTCCAATCTGATCCGACTTTTTGTCACAAGACATTCATAAACTCCTGATGTGTGGAGGAAGGAGATCCTTCAGCCAGTGAAAGCACCAAAACACTTTATCACAGCCAAGAAGTCCTGAAATATTCTGCTGAAGTGAAACGACTGCAGAAACGTCCCGACAGACGGAACATTCATGAAGAACTTCACAACGTATTCCAAATCACAAGAGGTGAAAAGCAGCAAATATTCCCGTTTAAATTGCTGTTTTTGTGTTCTGTAGGTTAAAAAAGTCCTAATAACTTTAAAAACAGAAAAAAATTAATTTCTATAGCACAGTTTATGCAGCAAGTCCGACTCAAAGTGCTTTGCATTAAAAAAAAATAAGCAAATAAAAGACAAGAGCAGAAATGACAAAAAACACAATACAATGAAACCTTAACAGACCTTTGCTGTCTGCTGTAGTGAAAACAAGTCTAGTGCCTTGTTTTAAATTCTCATTACCAATAATTACCAGGAAATGTTTTGCAGTTTGATGACTGACGACCGTCTCGTTGGTGAAACACATCCGTGGTTGGATCACCAGATTGTACATGAGAATACACGTGAGGCAAAAGTATTCCAGCTGACAGACTTTTAAAATCTTATCTTCAGCTTGTATGTGCAAAGTAACCGGATGGACACCACACGGCTTTAAAAATACATCTGTTTAGGATGTTCTGTTGTATTGGACGGGTTCAGGCTGCTTGTTTCTGAGTCCGACACCTTCAGCCAGGCATGAGATCCAAACAACCACAGGCCAGATTTCCATTAATTCTGACACTGTGTATACCAGCTGGTGATAAATGAAAGTAAAATCTAACATAAAGCGTCTCAGCGAGGCGCTGAGAGCTCGGATCGCCTCCACACGTGGAACTGTACCGGACCGATCGACGCCGTTGTTCCAAAAAATGTTCCCTTATTTGGGGTTTTGATGATGGTGGAGGAAAGTGGAGACAAACACGTCAATCAAGACTCTCCCTTCACTGTTCCACACCGTGAGGAACCCCGAGAATCTCTCTGAAGCCTTCTGGAACCACAGACTGGACCGCACTAGAAGCTCATCACTGACAGTTAAAACCTAGAAGCTCCTAGAGGACTCTGATGTTGGAGGACTGTGTTTCTTCAAAGGTACTCGGTTGAGTTCCACATGTTAAGAACCCGCAGGACTCCAGAGACCCTGTAATGACACAGAACAACCAGAAACACCTTCTGAAATCCTTAGTGATGATCAGAACCTCCGTCACTGGTACAACAACCACATAAAGAACCTTCTGAACTCCTTATTCAAGATCAGAGCATCTAACTGGTTACAATAACCACCTGAAAGAACCAAGAACCTTCTCAGTGGCTATGTGAACCCCCTAACACTTCTGGAACCTCCTAATTGCCTACAAGGACAACTAGAACATCCACAGTTGCTAAAAGAATCCTTTTAAACTGCTAGAACCTCCTTAATGGCCACAGGAACCACCTAAAATGGATTCCCACAAGACCATGATGGTGGAGAAATGTTCTAGACAGCACTTTCCTCCACCAAGAGATTTTTCATTGGCTAGAAGGACCCCTTGAAAACATTCACAGTATCTCCTAAGACTTCTGGAACCCCTCTAATAACCACAAGAACCTCCTGAAGTGGATTTCTACTCTAAATTATTTTCACACTGGCAACAAGAACCACTTAAAGGAGACCTACGATGTTCCGAGTTGCTACAAGAACTACCTTAAACTTCTACAACCGTCGTAACGACCACTAGAACCTCCTTAATTGCCACAAGAACCACCGAAAATAGACTCCTACCAGACCATGATGCATGACATGCATCCACCTGATCGAGCTGAGCTTCAGTCGCATCAGAAACATCTCGTCCACAGAGACAGTGAATGAGACCCAGCTAGGGGGAAGCAAACATCCCTCATTTCCTGTCGCTGCTCTTACATTCTTCCACACATGTTTCAACTGTGCTCGCTGTTTCCCACAACTCCAGATGCATTTCTCTTTTTGTCCCACTGAGCACACTGCTACGGTTACCATTTCACATGTATACGTATGGATTAAGCCTCGTTTTATACATGTGGCTTTTAGCTGTTTTACTCCAAGTATGTAAGAATTTCTTTTACTTTCATCACACTCCAGATGTACCACCTGATCTCCCCGTTGAACTCCTTGACGATGACTAGAACCTTGTAAATAGCTGCAAGAACCACCTAGAACACATCTAGGACCTCCTCAGGAGCCCTGAGGAACACCTAAAGCACTCTTTGATCCCCTTATGGACCCTCTGAACTTGTGGCATTGGTTTCATTTTGGACATATTTCAATGAAAGATAAGATTAGAAAAAAACCTAAAAGTAAGAACTTGGTTTTTTCTTGGCTGCTCATCATCTTGCAGCCCCTCAGATACTCTCAGGACATATTTAACTGCACAACCAGCACTTTTACTACATGGGAATGAGAGTACGCTTTTAATGGTACCCGGCTGAAGCAGGACTGACCTACACGCTGCATTGAGCTCAGACATAATGAGGCGAGATTGAAGGCAAACCTGGAAGTGAAGCTGGTTTTCTGTCGACAGTTAAACCCTGAAGCCTCCAGCTCGTATCACCTCCGTTCATTCTACAAATGTCCTCACGGTCCGCTGAGCTCATGAGTCAGCAGCTTGTCCCAGAGGAGTTAAAGTGTTCGCGCTAACAGCTCTGAGAGCTGGCCAGCTGGCACCTTCAGACTCGTGTTTCATCACTTCAGAGGACGATACGGGCCTCGTCTTGGCCTCAACTTAAAGCAAGTCTTCACTCTAAAGTTTGATGATTTAGGAAGTCAGTCCCCCACCGTGTGACAGATGTGCTGTACGTCCCAACAACACCACCACCTTAGTCATCTTTACCGCCTCTGTCCAGCCTCGTTGTCATGGTAACCGGTGAGTCCATACATTGTGAGTGCACAGATGGTCGGGATGTCGTGCATCCCAGCTAAGTGCAGAGCGCACGTTAAGTCAACATGATCTAAGCTGGTTCTGCATCTGATTCACATTCACACCAGTTCTTATCCGTCACTCTGGAGTTAAGCTCTCTTCAGGCACCAATCAGAGACTCTGCTGCCTCCGCTGTCCGTTACAGCCGCGGCAGCGATAGCGGCAAGTTGTGGCATTCAGATCTGATGAATGTTGTTGTTCTTACGGGCTGATGCCACATCGCCTCAGGAACGTCACACCGAGGTGGTTCGCTTCTATTAACTCATATACAGAAACACTGTCCTGATGGAACCCAGGAGCTCTGGTTGAAGGTCCTGAACCTCCTCAGAGTCTCTGTCATGGTCCCGTTGCTGCTAAACTCCCACAATGCTCTCTGCTGCCACCAGGAGCTGCAGTCTGAGTGACTGTAAAGGACGTATTTATGTGAGGGTTTGTGGGAGAAGTTGTGTGATTTCGTGGTCAAACAGTGAAAACAAAAGAACCATCAGTCATTAAAACACTGATTTTTGATGTGGACGTGATTCACAGTTTTTTGTTTGTTTTTAGAGCCAACATGTGAATTCATATTTTATTGTGATTTAACAAAACAAGTCTGTGAAACGTTCTAATTACAGTTTTAACAGCAGACTTCTGATCTGAATTTGATGTTTTTTTCCTCCGTCCTCGAAATAAAACGATGGTTTCAGACCGGATGAAAACATCTGAGGTTCCTGCTGCGGGTTTTCAAAGCGAAGACGTTTAATGTGTTGGATTATCTCGGCTGCTGGACCTCTGGAGGTCGCTCAGCGCTAATCCTCGTCCATCGAGGCTCAGCGCTGCTCAGCCCGACCCGTCTCAACGTCGACCACTCGCATGAAGCCGGGGACGCTGCTTCGGCCGACATTCACCCAACGGAGACCTAACAGCTGGATTCTTCTGATTCTGTTCCAAAAATGTTCTACTAATGTTTCTAGCAGGAAGTTTTCTTGTATTTCTCAGAACGTTCTTGTTAGAGGCAAAATGACTGAAGATGTTTTCGGTGAAAATGTTGTTAGACCACAGAGAACATATCTGGAACGTGTTCCTCAACAACATCCTCAGAACGTTGCAGCCGGAACGTTACAGGAACGTCTCACAAACAACGTTCTGCCATCTGACGTCTCAATAACATCTTGAAAACATTGCCTTGAGAACATCCCTCCTTTGTTATCATCATAGAAACATCTCACAGGAGAACGTTCTACAACGTAAACGGTTCTTCCTTCAATATGTCGCATTAGAGGAACGTTGCAAAACATCACGTCACCCGAGGCCTTGATAACGTCTGGGAAACATTTTCTGAATGCCGGCTTGAGAATGTTTATCCGTTGTTATATTGGAACATCGTGACGACGTTCTGCAGAAGAACATTCTGTGATGTGTTCCTCAACTAAAACAAAACTTTAAAACATCACTAGAACTTTGCAGAACTGGGCCAGGTGTATAGACGTGGACAGAACCGTCCACCACTGGGCTCAGAAGTGTCACTTGTGGCTCCTCAACAACCAAACAGCTTTTTTAAAAACTTTATTCTGAAGGAACGTCATTTTGTTTGGAGATAAACACCAAACAGGAAACCAGAGCTTCACGTTCTCTTGGTTCCGTTTGGTTTTTAGGTTCAGACCTCACTTTGTTCGACACTTTAAAACGTCAGCGCCGTGGCTACGTTTAGGCACCAGAGTCACAGTTGGTAGAAACATTTCAATCCTACATTTTCTGGGTTACTATGGTGACAAGCCCCGCCCCATCTAACATGTGATTGGTTGGCTGAAAAGGAGTCTGTTTTCCTCAAACCGGGAGCAGTTCTGACTGAAGAAACACCATCCTCTGCTGAAGGAGACTTAAGATGAGCAACTGAAACCATAAACGCATCAGAGAAATGTTCTCTGAGGTAATAAATCCAATGAGAAGTTGGATCATCTTCTCATATGTACAACTGAGCTGGTGTTCTGCCCCCTGCTGGCTGTTAGGCAGAACACAGTCTGTGGCTGCAGTTCATCCTGAGGGGAGCATGAATGTCTGGAACAAGGAGTTTTATACCAGATTATCACAGAAATCCGTCTATTTGTTGAGATTTTTAAAGATTTAAATCAACGCAGACGCTGTTGGACAATAAATGAATAAATCAAAAATGGTGGTTTTGTGATCCAAAAAACACTAAAACACCCAAATTCTCAATTATTAAAGCCAAAAGCAGGTAAGTGTGAAGCAAACACACTTTACAGAATTTCACATACATCACTGATTCATTCATCCGTTCATTCCTTCACAATAAAAGCACGGCTTTGCCTCTCGACCCCCTCGCTCTGACCTCCGGCTCGAGGTGATAAACTTGCTGTTTTTTGTTCTTATCGTTCGGACACAAAGAGTCCTGAACGCCACCGCTCAGTGATCCTCCTACAGGATGAACACATGAAGGCTGCTGATAACGGCCGTGAGCTCAGATTTAGTGGCTCCAGTCGTCCACGACGTGTAGACGATTAAGACCGACTGATTCTTCCTGATAATGTTTAAGGACCTTTTGTTCGTGTTTTTGTTTGTTTTTTTAAATTGAAAAAGTGAATTTATTAGACTAAAAAAACTGATTCAGGTGTAATTAAGATAAACATTTATTTTGCTAAATTTAAGTTTAGAATCACTTCTGATGCTTTTTATTGGTGGAATAAATAATTGATGCAGATTTTTCAGCCCACAGATCAAATAAATAAACCCTCAGTTCATATGCTGGTCTTCATCACTGACAGCTGCCAGAATCATCATTTATCTTTTAAAAATAAGCACAAAAAACCCAAACAAACAACAAAACTCTTGAAGCTTCACACTTTTTCTCACATTTGTTCACCTGAAGGACAATGAAACTGTCTTTACCTGGAGCGAAGCAGACGAGCAGGAGGATGGAGGAGAGCTTCATCCCTCCTCTGACAGTTACTGATCCGGTGGCAGCCGGCGGTGCGACCAGGCGTCCGGCGAGCTCAGAGGATGGAGCAGACTGAGGCTGGAGGCTGGGCTCTGCTGTATGAGGGGTCGTCAGTGCCACACTCAGCAGCAGCGGCGGCGCCTTAAAGCTGCTGCATCTGGTGACACTTTAACACAGCGTGGGAGTGGAAAGGATCAGAAACGAGCAGAACTGGCTTTAAACATGATCTGTGTTGTTGTTGTTGTTGTTGTTTACATCGTTTAGAAACCACCCAGACTGCTGCTGTCATGTTTTACTGTTTCATCTGTTTATAAATGAATGAATGACTGAGACCATGAACGCATCAGAATGTCTCCTGAGGTCATAAATCAAGTGGATCATTTTCTCACATCATAACCAGAAATAAAACCGACAGTTAAACAACTGAAATCAGGATCAATAACGTTCAGCGGAGAGAATCCACATCAGTCACTTCATCATTCACTGTTTTCATGATGTCTTTATTAAAAACTGATCGATGTTGGTTTTACTCATTAAAACATCTACGGCTAGAAAATAACTACATTTCTGTTTTGATTTCCATTAAAAATGATTTGGTATCATGTGATGTGCAGCATTTAAAGAGTTAGAATCCTGAAACCAAAGACTGGTTAAAAAAAAAAGTTAATAAATATAGAAAACAATAATATTGATATATCATATTTTGTGTAAGTTTATTGAAACTGATATTTATTTATTTTAATTATTTTTTAAAAAAGAAAAAATATATATTTTTATAATGTTGCTTTAAAGCAAATGAAATATGCACATTTTTCTGTGCATATTTCATTTGCTTTAAAGCAACATTATAAAAAAATAAGTTAAAAAAATTAAAATAAAAATGAAATAATAAATAAAATAAATTAATTTTAAATAATGATAAAAAAATACATTTAAAAAAATTTAAAAAATGAAAAAACTGAAAAAAATAAAGAAATACATAAAAAAATCAATAAAAAAATGTATAAATAAATATGTAGATTTTATTTATTTGTCTTTATATTTCTACTTTTATTAGCCTTTTCTTTCATGGATTCATTTTTGATTAATATTATATATATTGCCATATTATTTATTTTTTATTTCATTTATTCTCCTTTTTATTTCCACTTTTATTTTACTAGTATTTTATTAATTTATTGTTGTAATTTGGCACTCACTGCACTGTAAAAAAAGAATAATACAACGATAAATAAATAAAAAAATAAAACAAACACAAATCCAGTGGATAAAGTTGGAAAATAATATTGATATGTATCATTTATTGACAGTTTATGGTGCTGAGTGTTTAGTTTTATTTATTTTTATTCTGACAATTCACAAAATATAACAGAATCAATGTTGGTGTAATTTTATTTCATTTTATTTTATTTTTTTAAATCTGTGAAAATTGTTATTTATTAATTTTTTAAAATCAGATTTTTTATTTTTGTTTTTTTAATATTCTCAGGCAAATTCTTAGGAAAAGAACTCTAAGATCTCCTCCCAGGAAGATGAAACCACATTTACACTTAGCCACGAAAGAACTTCATAAACCCCACTGTGTCAGGGGGAGCACTAATGACTCGCATAACGAGGGGGAGGAGCAACAAACCCCCAATTAAAACCCAAACTCAGGTGTTAATGGTTCCTTCAGGATGTCAGGATGTGAAACTCCCAACTAGTCAGTCAGAGCTGATGGAGCCTCTTGGATGGAGGTGGAACGTCTTCAAGGAACTCAAGCAGGTCCAGCTGCTACCATTCATCTACCAGAAGAACCATGAGCTGGATGACTGAGGATCTTCACAGACAACATGTTCTGTTACCTTCATCACCTACCTGGCTCCGTCCTCGAGTCCTCCACAGTCACACCTGCTCTGTTTCCTACCAAAACGTCGTAGAGAAGCGTCACGTCGGTCCGACCATCGGCTCATTCAGCCACTTAATAATTAACGTCCAGCTGAGGCCACTCAGATGATTCCTTTGCAACAGGAGCCAAAAGCCGCTTGTACCTGCGACACGCCAGGTGACAACTACTTAACTCCCCCTTCAGCCGCCACCCCGTGTTGTTTTCAGTTTCAACAAATGTGCTCATGAATTAACAACAAAGTCAGAAGCAGCAGATCCACGCCAATCGTTCCAGTCTTTTTAACGTCTTCAGCCTGTTTTCCGTCTTAATGTGGCGCACGTTTGACCGGATGGCGACAAAGTTGGCAAACGTCGAGCCTCCAAGTTGAATCTGCTGCAACAGTCTGAGTGTAATGGAGGTCATGTTGTGGTACGCTGGACATTTAACGTGGTCGTAAGTGTTGGAGCAACAAAGAAGAAGAACGTTATCAGTCCAAGTTCACAGTTTGTTCTTATGTGTGCCCAACCGTGTCGACTGTAATTCAGAAGGTGTTTTATTGAGTTCAGCTGAGTGAACCAGATCTTCAGCCATTAATAAATCTATTATTCTGGCTTGCTCACATAGTCAACTCATCGTTCTGCCTGTAAGATGTCAAAAGATAGTGAAAAACGAACCTCAGTCTGCCAGTTACAGAGCTGATGTCTTCAGATGACAAGAACAATCCCATAAATGACAAAGAAAACATAAAATGTTCACATTTCAGCAGCTGTGAACAACCAATGTTTGCGGATTGCGGATCACATAAGGCTGGAACAAACCTTTAAAACATCACATTGTTGGTAAAAAAATACTATTTGGCTGCAATAAAGCTATAAAATTATACATATTTGGACAGACAATAGTATTTTAGGTGGATTAAACCTTTGAAACTGTAAATAGTTGGCCAGAAATAAGTACTTTGGGAGAAATAAAGGCTTAAAACTATAATTACTTCTACAGAAAGTAGTATTTTGGATGGATTAAATCAGTTTGACAAATAAACAAACCTAAAAAAGTATACTAACTTCAACAGATATTAGTATCTTGGATGGAACGAACCTATAAAACAATAGACTGTTAGTTTAAAAACTACAATTTGAATGAAATACACCTTTAAAACAAGTTGGTTAGAAAATGCCATGTAGGTGGAGTAAACCTAGACAAAACTATTTTGGGTGGAGTAGTCCTTTAAAAACATAAGTTGCTGGACAGGAAGTGGTACATTGGAAGAACTAACACTTAGATCTCTATGTACTTGTACAAAACAGATATTTTGGGTGGACTCGACCTTTAAACCCAAAAGTTCCCAGAAAGTCGAAAAAAGCCTCAAACTCTGTGCACTGAGCCAGAAAGTTGTTCTGAACCTTTAAGGCTGTAAGAAGTTGGACAAAGATTCGGAGATTTGGAGAGAAAAACATCTAAAACTACAAGTACGTGTAGAGAAAGTATCATTTTGGGCGGACTAAACCTTTAAACCTGAACCAGTTGGTTAGAAAAGGACTGTTTGGGTGGAACAAAGCTCTGCGTCTCGTCCTTCTTCCACCACAGTGAGTATTTACGTCGGCTAACGTGAGCAAAGATCAGCGACGGACAAATAATAAATAATAAAGTTTGAAAAGTGAAGCGAGGATGTCGGGAGGAGATTAACGGATTAGCAGGAATTAAATTGGCTTCCTGATGGAGTCAGAGGGTCACCATCCAGACAAGAGCCTCCTTCTTCTCCTTTTAATTTAGTTCTCCTCTGTGATCCGGTCGCTTTTAAACTCATAAATATGACGTGTTTATATCTGAGATTCTGGCTTCAGCACAGATAAGATGAAGACGTTTGAGTCACTGCACGAGAAGAAAACCTCGTCTTCATCCAAAGAAACGAAAACATTCGACAACTTTACGGATTCCTCACATAAGATCTAAAAACGGCATCGACAGACGACACGATGTGGATGTTGAACAAACAAAACAATCCTTCATTCAAGCTGCTTGCAGTCGTTCCTTCGTGTCTCAGTAAAAGTTGACGACATTCAGTTTATGAAGAAGCAGCAGATCAGGAATGTGGTCGAGTTCTGAAGCCTCAGCGCCGCACAGATCCGCCGCCGGACTTCCCAGCAGGCTTTGTTCCGCTTTTGTTGCGTGAACTCAAAGGCGTCTGAAGGTTAATTGAGTTGGGACGTCGCCGTCGGCCAATTCCTGTAATTCCTCCTGGAAATAAAAGTAAGAGCCTTGTGGGCGGGCCGGGGGCCAGAGCCGGACTGAACCGGCCAACAGAACCCAGCTTTGGAGCCAAACTTCAACAATGGACTCGGATGCTGGGAGCAGATGTTACTGGACCGACACCGGTCTGGAGGAAGGTTCAGGTTTCACTGCGGCGTAACTCGTGAACCCTGTCCGGTGTCATAAATCACTCTGAAGACGAGGCCTGCTCATGTCTGTAAAGTCCTGACTTTGTAGTTATTTATATCACATTTCAACCGTTATGGTGACCTGGACCCACTTATGGATCATTAAACTACTGAATTACTAAACTACAAATGGAAGTCGGGATGTGGTACCACACTGCTGCATTTTGTACACCCACCATCCACCCCGAGCTCCTCCTGTCAACTCAGGCCTCCAGTGTTTTGACGAATTCTGATTTTATCAAACAAAACAACTGTATCGATACGAAGATATTTGGTTTTGCTGCATTTTAAACTTCCAAACAGCAAATACAAGCAGAGCTGAAGCACCCGGATTGTGCGCCCTCCATTCACCCCGACCTCCTCCTCCAGCCAGCTCACACGTCCAGGATGTCCACAAAGTCAGATGTCAATAAACGTAACAGATGAAGAGATTATAAATGTAGTTTTTTTTGTTGTGAGCTGAAGCAGTTGGTTTATGGCCCTCCATCCACCCCGACCTCCTCCTGCCGGCTTAAGCCTTCATGGACGTTCACAAACTCATGCTTCTAGAACATCTGCAGGGATTGAAAAGTGTTGGGAAGCAGATAATTCTTTCAAAAGATTTGTACTCCGAACAACAAACACTCGAAGCTAAGACGTTTACTGTTTTTTGTTGCCCTTCTATTAAAGATGAAGGTTTGTTGTTGGGGGGCTTCATGCTAACACGAGGCAGTGCAGACTTAAATGAACGTCCAGCTTTTGTTTGGTCCAAAGGTTTTACCAACACTGGATAAAATGGAGGCTCCACATGCTGTAAATATTAAAGCAGTCTGACTTCAGGGCAGCTTGCACAAGTTTCTGTCATTTTAGACAGTTTGGTTTGTCATTTCAAGTCCTCTGAGACCCATGTTGGGTGAAGTTTCAACACATTTTGGACAAGTGTTTGTCATATTAGACTGTTTTGGAGTCCTTTTGGACAACTTTTGAGTCATGTTAGACCATGTTTTTGACATTTTGCAAAAAATTTTAAGTTCTTTCGGGAAAGTTTTGTCATTTTAGACACCTTTCAGGTATTTTTGGACAAGGTTCAAGAAATGTGGAACACATTTTAATGGTTAAAAAAAAAGTAAATAGTTTTTGACAAGTGTCTATCATTTTTAAACCATTTTTTAATCATTTTGGACAAATTAGAAAATAGTTTGTACATTTGTCTTTTCATTCTGAACCATGCGGTCTGAGCTGAACATGTGAGGATGCTGTTAACAGTGAACAAGAAGGACGACGTTCAGCTGGATGTGCACTGGGAGGCAGCAGAGTTTCAGGTGACGGAGCTCAGAGGAGGGAAAATATTCCTGTTGAGCCTGTTTGAAAACACATCCGGTCCAGCAGTAAAGACACAGATTACCGCGGCAGGAGGAGGTACGACTGCAGGAGAAACCTGGAAGCAGCAGTGAAGAAAGAAGAAGTTATTTATTCTATCTGTGTTTTTTATTTTTTCCATTTTTTTATCAAACTTTAATTGAGATGAATTATTTCATTTTAGTTCCTGTTTTCAGAGTACTTTGTTTTTAAAGCTGCTCTACACACAAAATGAAAAAAATAAAGCTAAATATGTATTTTAATCACCATGATTGATTAAGCTGATGATTATTTTCTTAATTATTTAGCTGGTAAGTTGTCAAAAAATATTTTATTTAATTTTCCACATCCCAAAGTGATAACTAAAGAAACCCAACGAGATTAACCTCATATGTAACAAAGAAAACACAACGTTTTAACATTTAAAAACCGAAAAACATCCTGTGTTTATGCTTATAAAATAATGAAAATAATTTTCAAATAATGACATCACTTGTGCACCGAATATATAAATATGCAAAGTAAACAGTTAAGTGTTCAAAAAATGAGAAAGTACAAAATAAAATGGTATAAAATGGTCAATAATTCGTAATTATTAATGGTGCAGGTGTACTATTCTTACTTTTATTATTATTATTATTATTATTATTGTTATTATTATTATTATTATTATACTATTACATCAGAAAAGTATTCCTACATTTTCTGTGTATTATTTGGATTTTTTATTTAAAAAAATATAAACATGAATGATGATTTTAAAGATGAATTAAAATTAATTGATCTTTAAATGAAATATCAAATGCGTTTATATTTTTGAAAGCAAACCTGAGACCCTCCCTTGTTGTCAGGCCTTTGACTGAATTGATAGATTTTTGTCTATTACTCCTCATGTTTCATTAAAAGAAATAACAATGCTTTCTAACGCACATTTTAATCTAATATAATTAAACTAAGGAGCTTCTTTTATTTTTCCGCTTCCGACCATTATGTAATGACACGACTCCTCTCTCTGATTGGCTGAGCCATCTGTCAATCTGGGACGTGTCGACCAATGGCAGCGGGCGGCAGGCGATACAAACTAGCCGCCGCCATGTTGTGTCTCCGGGGGCCTGGAGGGACGTCCGGTAGTAAACAGTAGCTGACGGTACCGGCCGCGCAGCTCACCGGAACGGGACCGCAGCTGGAAGCCATGAGCCGTCCGTCCTCAGCCGGAGCCGGAGGAGGAGGACTCGGGGCCGGGAAAGCAGGCGGGGGAAAGCACGGGGGTTCTGGGGGCACCGCTGCCGCCGCCGCCGCCGCCGCAGCAGCAGCAGCAGCCGCCGCGGCCGCAGCAGCGGCAGCAGCCGCCGGTGTGAGCTCCGTGTCCGGGTCGGGTTCCGCTGCCCCTTCCTCCGCCGTGTCCCTGCCCCCGGCCGGCCTGCCCGGGCAGCCGTCGGAGCTCACGGCGCTGTTCGAGTGCCCGGTATGCTTCGACTACGTGCTGCCGCCCATCCTGCAGTGCCAGGCGGGTCACCTGGTGTGTAACCAGTGCCGGCAGAAGCTGAGCTGCTGCCCGACCTGCCGCGGCCCGCTCAGCCCCAGCATCCGGAACCTGGCCATGGAGAAGGTGGCGTCCACGCTGCCGTTCCCCTGCAAGGTGGGACACAC